TGGATCTACAGCAAAAAAACCCTTCAGGTTGGACTATTGTTAAGAGTTAGAACTTTGGGAAATGAGTTTAAACTCATTTGAATGTCCTGCTCTGCTTCATTTGTGATATCTGAAATTATAATCTTTGCATCAGATATAAATGCATGAACAAAGAATGTGAGGGTAACTTGAATGCTTCTCTTGAACAAAATTGCATCTCACTAAAGCGGCACAAAAGATAGGAAGTGAAGCTATTCGTATATCCTGTTTTCTCTCTCCTCATCCTCTAATATTGAAAGTTGAAATTACTTCAGAGCAGAGCTGTAGGAATATATCCACAATGAGAAAAAAATGTAAATAAATATGTGGGCCCCACTTTCTCTAGACTAATTTTGGCTTCTGGACAGATTAGAAATAAAATAAACAAAGAAATACAATATAGAGGGAGAAACATTTTCTATTTCCTGTAACTTTCTTCCACAGTCCTACATTTTATGAAGGAAAAATCTCCCCTCCCTACTTCTTACTTTTATTAAATTAAAAGACTTTGCATCTGATTTACATCAACAAATTTATCTCCCTTTTCTACTTAAAAAGCACTTATATTATAGTTAAAAACAGGAATAAATTACTGGATCCATATTCTGCATTTTACACTTCAGTCCATCCAAATGCCTTCCACTGTCTAAACACACAGTGATGTCTCATTGCAAGGAACTGCTTTTAATCACAAATATTATACATGTTACTTCCTAGCTGTGAATTGTCACCTTGGTGTTATTCTGAAAAGTTCTTCCTGGGCAAGCCTGGCTCCATATTTATTTATCAAATTAGCCTACCTCCCTTCCCAAAAGGACGAAGTTCATGCACAATTAAAATTTGGAAAAGCACACTAGTAGGCAAGAATCCAAGACTAAACCCGATTCCTAAATAGCAAGAGTGCTATATATTTGCTTATAAATCCTCCCTTCCTCATGATGTAAAGGCAGTTCTTAATTCCCACTTGAAATTGTAATATGAATCAAGTTCTAGTAACAGCAATGGAATCCATCAATGATGTAAGTTAGGAGAACCAACACGTCAATTACAAAAGCATCAATGCATGGCAAGAAAAAAGTAACATTTAGGTTTTTTTTTTTAAAAAAACTGTATTTCACAAAATATTTTTTTTTAAAAACACACACTTACAATAGCAATAAAAATGACCCTGACTTACTATTTTTAAACTATTCTCCAACTTCAGACAACAATACCTTGACAATGCAAGTAACCTATGAAATGAATGGAAAGGAACTAATAGATTAACAAAGGAAATGGCTATTTTAAGCTACCAAAAGTATTTATAGTTACTTTTGAGCATCACAGTAAGATGGAAAAATAAAACAGAATATTCATATAACATGTCAATGATATTTCGATCAGTTTCCATAGATCAGCAGTGGCCTCCAACCCTTTGGGCACCAGGGGCCGGTTCTGGGGAGAGAGGTTTTTCCATGGACCAGAGGGGGCGTGGTTTCATGTGCTTCCTACATCCCGCCGATGGGCCTTTGATTGTTTGTGCAGCCCGGTTTCTGGCTTGCTGCAGCCCAGTGCTGGTCCACGGACCAGGGGTTAGCGACACCTGCCATAGATTATAGCACATTACAGCAATAATTCTTCAGGCTTCAGTAGAATAGGACTGAATGAAATTTCAATATTGGTGATTGCTTAGAATATTGCTTAGAGTATTGTTATATATTCTAATATATTCTTTACAACTTAATGTAAGTATTGTTCTCATGGTTAGAAAAAAACTGAAAGTGAATTCCTTGTTAGATTCAGCATTAAAAAACCCAACAATTTGACTGCTTAATCATACTCCTGGCTTTGGTTTCTAATATTTTAACTCTTGATAAAAACTTTACTGGCATGGACCAGTAGTGGGTTGCAAATCCCATCGCTATCGGTTCGCTCATCATAAAATAATTGCTCGCGTGTGCAGAAGCATCCGGGTGGAGACTCCCACCGCCGCTGCTACCAGTTCGCCCAATCCGATCACCTGCCTGGAACCTGCACTGTATTTCATACATCAATACATTAGAGAGAATCCAGAGATATTTTACTAGAAGAGTACTCAAATCTTCTGCTCGAAATAAAATTTCTGATACCACCAGGCTTGAAATTTTAGGTCTAGATAGCCTCGAACTACGTCACCTACGTTTTGACCTATGCTTAGTTCATAAGATTATTTACCAAAACATTCTACCTGTAAATGAGTACTTTAATTTCAACCATAATAACACAAGGGCTATCAATATATTTAAACTCAATGTAATTCACTCTAATCTTAATTGTAGGAAATATGACTTCTGTAATAGAGTAGTAAATGTCTGGAACACTCTACCTGATCCTGTTGTTAGTCTCTCTAATCCCCATACCTTTCACCATAAACTGTCTATCATGGACCTTTCATGTTTCTTAAGAGATCCCTAAGGGGGCGTGCATAAGCACACCAGCGTGCCTACCGTCCCTGTCCTACTGTTCCCATTTATATGTACTCATTTTATGTGGTTTTTTTTTAAATTTGATTTATATGCCGCCCTTCTCCGGAGACTCAGGGCGACTTACAATGTGTTAAGCAATAGCCTTCATACTTTTGTATATTTATACAAAGTCAGCTTATTGCCCCCCCAAACTGGGTCCTCAATTTACCTATCTTAGAAAGGATGGAAGGCTGAGTCAACCTTGAGCCTGGTAAGATTCGAACCTGCAGAAATTGCAGACAGCTGTGTTAATAACAGGGTGCATTAAACCACTGTACTACCAAGGCTGTTTTGCCAATTTATATCCTTTTTTTGCGCCAATTTTTTTCATGTGTCCACGTCTATGTCTATTCTGTTACTTGTTTTCTTGTACTTGTTGACAAATTAAATAATTAAATAAATAAATAAATAAATAACCCACCACTGGCATGGACTTCTAGCCTTGTTGCTTTAAGGTAAACTGAGAGGCTAGAATTCAATGCCAACAATAATGAAAGAAACACATGCATCATCAAATTTAGTTTTAAACACCCAGCATCTAGTCATAGCTAGAACACATAAATGGATAGAAAATGAATAAATAATGAAATACCTCTTTCAAACATAGCATATTGGTTGTATATTCACATAGTGATGTCCTTGAAATCCATGAGGACTATTGTAATGGATTTCACCCAAAGGAAACAACGAAAATACATTAATAGATCTATTCATTACAAAGATAAGATCATAAAGAGCTGCGGATCATAAGAACTGTGGTAGCGCAGTGGTTAGAATGCCGTACTGCAGTTTGGCAGTTTGAATCTCACCAGGCTGAATGTTGACTCAGCCTTCCATCCTTCCGAGGTGGGTAAAATGAGGACCCAGATTGTTGGGGCCAATATGCTGACTCTGTAAACCGCTTAGAGAGAGCTGTAAAGCACTATAAAGCGGTATATAAGTCTAATTGCTGTTGCAATTGCTATAAATGGAAGGATACTAACTACTGATCTATTTTACAGCCCAATTTTAGTAACATGTTTTAACCAAACATGTGTTATATACTATAGAGCAGCTTTTCTCAAACTTGGCAACTTTAAGATGTGTGGACCTCACTCCCAGAATTCTCCAGCCAGCATCTTAAGGCTGCCAACATTGAGAAATGCTGCTATAGAGATGCTTTTACTATTCAATTATAGGTGTGGAAGCAACTTTTGGTTAGCACTGTCCACAGGATCTTGCTATTTTCGTGAAAATGACAAAAGCAGCATTGTGGTGTTGCACTGGAAGTTCTGCCCCTTTTGGTGGGCATGACATGTTGTGCTGCATTTAGAGAAAAGGCAAGGCTTGCATTACAACATCACATCATTGTGTTCTTCAGTATGACCTCTTCTGGCCCCTGTTGCAGCCTTTTGCATTATAATTCTTTACCAGGGGCAGCAGACAAAGCTGAAAGCAATGCTGGACTAATATAATATAACCATCAAGGTAGTATTATGACCCTATTTCTCAGTATCAATTTTGAGGGGTTTTTTGTTTTGACTATAGATGGAGAAATCATTACTCAAATCTACATATCAAATCAGATGATTAATTTATGTCATAAAGTTGAACATATATGAAGCCCCAATAATTATTATTGTGCAAGTAGCAGACAGCAAAGCAGACAAGGCTATGAATAGCAATAGCATTTAGACTTATATATTACTTCATAGTGCAGCCCTCTCTAAGCGGTTTACAGAGTCAGCATATTGGCCCCAACAATTTGGGTCCTCATTTACCCACCTTGAAAGGATGGAAGGCTGAGTCAACCTTCAGCCTGGTGAGATTCGATTTGCCAAACTGCTGGCAGCCGGTGATCAGCAGAAGTAGCCTGCAGTACTGCACTCTAACCACTGCGCCACCACAACTCAAGTGAATGTTGTTCACTTTTGAAAATCATTTTACAAGGCATTTGCTTGCAAACCTTAAATAGCATAACAACCACTGTATCTTGGACAAAGTACCTGACATACAGTATTACTTGAAATACATTTTGAATGGTTTTAAGAAAATTTATGCTGTACCAAAGCAAGAGGAATCTCAAAGTGCAGTGTTGAATATTAATTTGAAGCTCAGAATAATCAAATTGCATTGTGGATAACCAATGCCCTTAATGCTTACCAGCTGTGTTTTTTTTTTACCCAGAGGCCTCTCCCATTAGATTACAAGTTACCCTTTCTAAACATCCACAGCCACAATACCATTAATAATGCCTGCTAAATTAGATTGTTGACATCTGCTGTTTTTTGTCAATGGCTTTTTGGGATTTCCTTTGGTGGTCTCCACTGTTACTAGGAAATCATGTTTGCTGCTGCATTAACTAGAAAGAAGATAAGTAACGCTTTGCATTGAGACCCTACTAAGAAAATAACTACGTACTGTAGCAGCTAATTCTCTACCCACATTTCAGCAAAGGTTCCAAAACCACATTTGCACTCAGTGTGTTACATTTATTTACTTTTAAACTTTCAGCCTTACCTATAATACTGTAGCTGAGATTCTAGCTGCTGGATATAGAGCTGCAGTTGGGACACTTTATGGGCTTTAGTTTCTAGCTCCTTTACTTTTCCAAGGCTGTTAACAATAACACATCTTGCTTCTTCAACTTTCTTCCTCATTTCTGCCTGCTCTCTTTTTAAGCTGTGGTTGCAATCTTCCAAGGCTATCAGGGCTTCATGAGAATTCCTTAGTTCTTTTTCCAGTTCTTGGTTAAACTTAATCGCTTCTTCAATTTGTCCATCTCTAGAAGTTCGGATTAATTCAACTTCTTTTAGAACGCTCTGAAGGCACTTGGAAGTCTGAAATCTATTGTTAACCTGTTGTCTCCGGCTGCCTATAAAGCAAGTCCCATTTTTCTTATGCTGTGCATGGCTCTTCCACAATCCCACCTACAATCATCAGGAGCAAAATAGAAAATATTAATTAGGAGCTGTTTAAACAAACAGATTTCTTCTCAATGCAATTAATACATTTGCCTTCAATAAATGTATCAATAGCTGAAGAATGATCATAATCCAATGCCTAAATTTAAAACAAACACACAAGCACTCAAAATGACTCTTGTTTACAAAGTTTCACACAGGAATTCTTCTGTGAATATTCTTAAATGGAGTTTATTGCCATTTTGGTTACCTAGATTACACAACTGCGCTTCCCAATGAAAATTTAGGAACATGTTCCAGATTAAACAAACAAGGCTGAGAGACACCAACATGTATTAAAACTGCAATCATGAACTCAGTTATCTCACAGAAAGGTGCATTCGGTTTTGAGTCAAGATGCATAAAATTGCATTATAAAATATATGCCAATAATAAGTATGAAAGCTTATCAAGAGAAATTGTCATCTTGTAACTCTTAATCTCTTGGTGAAATAAGACATTGTGAAACATTAAGTACTTTTTATTCTAATCCTGCCTAATTTGGTGCTGTACTTGAAGTGAACCATCTTGCTGGCTGTGAATTATGGGAGCTGAAATCTAATGCATCTGAAGATCACCAAACCAGAGAAGACTGATCTAGAAGTTATTAAAGTATCAACAAGTAGAACACATAGCTAAGAGTGCGTGGTATGCAAACAAAACCTTGCTTATACCAATATTGTCTTCATTAAAGTAATATATTTCAAAAACTTGTGTCTTATTGTGCTTTCAGTAAGGGATGATGAAGGCATCAATAAACCACGAAAAGCACAGTACTCAATCCAACATCACTATAACTCAAATTCAGCGTTTTATTTCATAAAGGGTATACAGAGCTACTTCAACACATCCCAAAAGCTCTCTAAAACTGTCCAGAACTGGAAGCAAATGAAGATAGCAGATGGGTATCCAAGAGTGAATGTCAATGAGTCAAAAGAGTCAATGGCTCTTTTAGGGCAGGGAGGACAAAGGACTCCTTACTGTATTATGGTTTGGGGCAAAGGAGGAAAAGGATTGCTCTCACTGTCCTTGTTCCCACAAGTACACAGTTTAATTTGTGAAAGGGAACATATATACCTGTGTTTTGCACGCATGCACTAAGTTTTGTTTTTTCACATACTAATATCACCTATACTATGAGTGAATGTGAGTAACCTATATTGTTTATTTATTAGATTTCTATACTGCCCATCTCACTAATACAGCAACTCTGGGCAACTTAGGTAAAGGTAAAGATTTCCCTCACACATATGTGCTAGTCATTCCTGACTCTAGGGGGTGGTGCTCAGCTTTGTTTCAAAGCCGAAGAGCCAACGCTGTCCGAAGATGTCTCCATGGTCATGTGGCCGGCATGGCTAAATGCCAAAGGTGCACGGAACGCTGTTACCTTCCCACCAAAGGTGGTCCCTATTTTTCTACTTGCATTTTTTACGTGCTTTCGAACTGCTAGGTTAGCAGAAGCTGGGACAAGTAATGGGAACTCACCCCATTACGCGACACTAGGGATTCAAACCGCTGAACTGCTGACCTTTCGATCGACAAGCTCAGCGTCTTAGCCACTGAGCCATCGCATCCCTTTTCTGGGCAACTTATAATGTAATAAAAAAATATGTATATGACCTGTGCAGGCATAAGAATCATGCAGAGGTCGCCGATGCCTACTTATGTGAAATACATGCAGGTGTTCCCACAAATAGTAGAGTAAAGCAAGAAAAACAGATATAATCCCATTCCCTTCCACACTATTGCATTCACTGCAATACATTCAGAGAGGAAGAGTACATGGTTAAAATTCTCCTTGATAGGAAGGAAGCTGAAAAAAGAAACTTGGCTCTTAGGATAGCGGGTCATCAGTGGTGATGGATGAAAAAGAGCAGAAATTTGCTCTGGTTACCAAGAGCTATCAACAGTTACCAATAAGGCAAACAAATGAGATGAAATTGTGACTTCAGAATAGAGTATATCATTCAGCCAAAGCATATACTATAGTTGGACGTATTCATTTATGTATCAAAACTGTTGCTAAATCTAGATTCACCCTGCAACAGCATACTAAAATAAAGTATTACACAAGAAAAGTAATGTATTGCATCACAAAAACAAGCCAAAATGAAAATTATTTATTAGCTAACATTTGGGTTGTTGATGGGTTGGCTATGTATATACAGCTGTTCTCCTAACATTTATTTCTTGAAATGTTAAAACTCATGGATTTTTTTTTATTCAATTGCTCATTTAAAGTTAGTTCCCTGTGTGCTGGCCAGTATTACAAAATTGACAGGATGTAATAAAAACTAATTTCCTGTTCTACCTGACTGGGGGATCCTATAACAAAAACATGATGGGTGTATTATTTGGGTACTCTTGGATGGTCCATGAGACATTCTAGGAATAGTCTAAAGAAGAAGAGATGGGGGGGGCATGAAGTAAAGGAGTCATCCTGCTACAATCCTAATGAATAGGAGAGCCACAGGAAAAGATAAGAGACAAGATGGAATTTCCCTAATAGTGGTACATTAAAGATCCATCAAAAACATTGGGAAAAATATGTTTGCAAATATCATATGTTTTTGGCTCTTGGTAGGAATATATCCATCTCCAGATGAATGTAAAGAACAATTAAAAATTAGAAGTATATAAAGTGGTTTATTGGAAAAGATGTTTTTATTTATTTACTAAGTCACAGATTTATTCAAAAAGGTAAAATATAAGCATATAAAAATGCTTCAAACTAGTTTACTGAATTCAGTAGACTTTTGTGAAATAAATCTGTGCATTTGATAGCTGCTTCAAACAGATTTCTGCTTATGTACCCACCTGTTGGTGAGCAAAGACTACTGACCTTACCGGCAATTAAATATTAATGGGCACGTAAATGGCATTGAATTGTTAAACCCACTCAAGTCAGTGTGTTTAATTCTGCATTGGATTGAAGTGTTATTAAAACCATGAAATTATTTATCACTGTGAGCTATGCTATGGGAACCCAACCTTTTTTATATTAAAAGTGTCAATCTCTTTGTTATTGAAAAGGTGTGCAGGAATGAAAATGAATACAAGTCTTCAAATATTAATATTATTGAATTTATGTAGTGTATCCTGTTTCAATAGAAAAATACATGTTTCTTCTTCATCTTTGCCCTCCATACTTTGTTTGGGTTTTCCTTCAATCCAGTCATAGATAGGAATTGCCCATTGAAGTCAATGAATTTTCCAATGGAACCAAAACTATACTTATTCATAAATATATCAGAAAATCAGAAAATCCATGTAAGAGTGCTTCAGAATAAAACTTCAAAAGTGCTTATCATTGACTGGACAAGTTCATTACTTTGTTTGCAAAACTTGCAAACACAACAAGAGGCACTTGAGATTATTCTAGACAGATTTTTGCAGGTAGACCCAAATGAACTGTTTCATCTGAAACATGCTTCTCTGAATTTCTAGTAGAGTGCTGTCAACACAACACAATGTTCATTTATACCATATATGGGACCACAGTGTTTATGTGCCATGTTGTCCTTTTACCACTGACTAACAAGATTTCAGAGAAGACAAAAGCTAAGCAAAGTATTTGTGCATCAGCCCCAAAGCCAATAACTGTCAGTGACTTCAGGGAATCTTTGTTGAAGAATCTTTTCAATTTAACACAATATAAACAGAACCAGGTTTGAATGGAAATTGAAAAGTCACAAACTTTTTAGAATGATTCCCGTTACAAAAATGGTTGCTAACACTCAAGGATGGAAAGAAATAGGGACTCTTGAACTTATTACTGCTATTTTCTCAGTCAAATAGGATACACATTACTCAAAACATACTACACAAGACCTTCCTATAAAGCTCAATAGAGAAGCTGCATTCTCCATAGGACTTGTCAGAAAAAAACCAGGGCTGCTTCTTTGTCACAATTTACTCTTTCCCCTTCACTTATAATAGCCCACCATGGCAATAAAACTCACTCCCTAGTATGTAATAATAATAAGGGTTGGCTTTGGCAGTTCAGGAAAACCCACCTAAATCAAAGTGCATGCTTTATATACAGAATAGATCATCCCACAGTGCATTTCTCCACTTGTTTGGCAAGGGAGTGTTGGTTGGGAGCGTCTGGAGCCTCCCAACATTACCCCATTCTCTTTTAAGTTGTCCTGAAAGGAAATAGAAATGCCAGTGTGGGTTTCCCTCCCTTCTGAACATTTCAATTGGCTTCAGCATCTTTCCCATCCCTGGCTGCAGATGAGTTGCTAACTAAAAAAGTAACTACTAGTTTGCTGTAAGTTCACCACATCCCAAATGTGCCGCCTCAGACAGCTACCCCACTATCCCCTAAGGACAGGTAGGCCTCAGGAAGGCATTTACGACCTTCTGTTCACTTTCCCTTCCTCCTGTCTTTAGGTGCCCTTTCCCAGAACAGACTGGGTGGCACCTTTTGGGTGAGCATCTATGTCACTCAGGATTTATCACACCCCACTGCCATCTCGTCTGAAAAGCGTTTAATTAAGAACCCTCGGGCGTGGTTGGGGCTCATCTTGGGACTTTCACGCCCACCCAGGCAGCGTAACCGGGGTCCGGGCAAGGGAGGCTCAACAGCTCCAAAGGCGCACTCTTTCCGATCCCTTCGGGCTCCACGGCGCAGCAGGACTTCCCCGCCCGCTCACCTGGAGCGCCAAGCACCGGGCATCGCTGCTCTGCAAAGCCGCCCTCATGTCCTCCACCAATTCGCGCAGGCTGGCGTTTTCGTCTTCCAGCTTGACGATGCGATCTTCCGCCTGCTCCAGCGCCACGATCTCTTCGTAGCATTCCCGGGAGCACGAGCCCGGCGGCGAGGAAGAGCACGACCGAGCGCCGCTGCTCCGCGGGCAACCCCTGCCCGCCGCCCTGCGTCCCGCCGCAGCTGCCTCCCGCCGGCGGCGGAGCGGGCTGCGGAGGCGAATCTGGGTCTCGATGTGCTCGCTCTCCTTGCCCAGAGGTAGCCTGTTCACCCCCGGGACGCCCTGGTCCGGCAGCTTGCAGCCGGCCTTAGTGCTGAAGTAGCCGCACAGCTTGGCATGGAACTGTCGGAAAGTCAGCTCGGGCGAGAGGTTCTCGCAGAGGCCAGCGCATTCCTCCGGGTCGGCGGCCGCCTCGCCGTCGCCGTCGTCTTGCAGCCCCAGCACCAGGCAGAGGGTCTGGAAATCGTCGCCGGGGATCTTGCCTTCGCCTTCGCAGTCCAAGTGGTGGAAGATCTCCTGCAGGTACTGATCCAAGCCCGTGGCCAGCACGATGATCTCGTTCTCTACCCCCCGGTCCAGCCCGTAGTGGTAAGCCAAGGCGCTCACCAGCCACTGGGTTCGGCGGGCCGGCCGGCTATAAGGGTCCCACACCTCAGGCGGATCCATCCTCGGGCGCTCCCGCCGCCGCCGCCGCCGCCGCCGCCGCCCCCTCGCCACACAGCTCGCGCTTCTCTTCAACCATTCTTCCCTGCTTGAATCGAGTTTCCCCGGGTCTGGGTGGGCGGGGCTCCCTGAGCCAGCCACGCCCCCTGCTCGTGTTCCTCCCCGCCGTCGACGCCCCGCCTCCTGTCCCCAAGCGCGGAGGGGCTAGGTGGGTGCTTCTTCTAAGGCTCTGGAGGCGCGAGTGAGCATGCGTCGCATTTCTTCGGTGGAAATGAGTTGAAGGAAGGATTTTTCTTAGACTCGGAATATGAGTAACGTTTCTCAATGGAAGGAGCCATAAAATAGACTAGGAATTGGGGGCGGGGGGGGGGCGGGGAAACTTTCAAGAAAAGACATTGATTGTGTCGAGGCCATCTCCAGAAGTTCAGCTGAACTGAGATAAGTCTTTGCCTTATTTCTATTGTATGTCAGCTTTTGCCTCCATTTATACAAGCATTTCCAAAAGTAGCAGTAGATCATAACAGTAGCAGCCACCAACATAAATCAAATTAAGAAAGTCAATACAAATGACAATATTACAAAGAAATGCTAGGCAAACATCAGACGAATCGCATAAGAATACAAGAGCTTCCATGCATAGCCAACAATTCTGCTTTTGCTGTAACTTGTTGCACAACACACCCCGGCAGGTGTATTTTTCTGTATCTACCTGCAGAGCTGAAGAAGCTTCTTGAATGAGAAGCGAAATGTCTTCAAAGAAAAACCAGAAAGTCCAGTGTGCCTCTTGAAAAAAGCACCTTTGGGGCAACCTTGACCTGGATGACTGAGAATCTCCATAGATACCTGCCCCAAAGTTTGTAGTTGCAATAGTTCATAAAGAGACAAATCTGCTTTCCTCAAATGTTTTAACAGAAGTTTTCTTTTTTTATTTCCTTTTTCCAAAACTAACTAAACAAAAATTATTCAAAAATAAATCAATTTTCACATCACACACACAATTTTTAAGCAAGGAAGATGCTTGGCATTAAGATGAAGAAACAAAGAATGCTTAGAATAGTTTTTTTATTTTTTAATCCTTCTGGCACAGTTCCTGCAATTCATGCCTAGAGTGTAAAAGTTCAGTCGCTAAGCCATGCCGTCCCTCCATGGCCCCATGGACCATAGCACACCAGCCAATCCCCTCCCCGTCCTCCACTGTGGCCCTGAGTTTGCCAAATTCATGTTCGTTATGTTGATGACACTATCTAACCATCTGATCCTCTGCCGTCCCCTTCTCTTTTTGCTTTCAATCTTTCCCAACATCCTCCCTGCACATTAGGTAGCCAAAGTAGTTAAGCTTCGGCTTCAGTATCTGTCCTTCCAAAAAACAGTCAGGATTTCCTTTAAGGATTTCCTTTAGGGTTGACTGATTTGATCTCCTTGCAGTCCAAGGGACTCTCAAAAGTCTTCTCCAATACCAGAATTTGGAAGCATCAGTTCTTCAGCACTCAGCCTTCCTTATGGTCCAACTCTCATAGTGATACATTACTACTGGGAAAACCATACTTTTGATTATACAGACCTTTTGACTATACGGACCAAGGTGATGTCTCTGCTTTTTAATATGCTGACTTCTTTGTAAAGGGCAGTCTGTAATTTTTAAATTTGTGCCATTGCAAAAGAAACATATTTTATTAAACAGTTCTTTTTAACCTTTCTGATTTTGTCTGCTCTCCAAGATCTGCTCAGCCACTTGCAATTACTGACTGATGCTGGAGTTTTTGAATCGCAGGTCCCTTGCTAGGCAAGGAAGTTCATCTAGTTGTTATTTCCTTAAAAGCATATCACATCCACAGCAAATGTCTGTGCTATTAACGAAATAGTTTTTTTAAAACAACAACAGCAGGGGCGGGTTTCAAAACCTGTGGTTTTTTTTTTTTTTTGTAATTCAATTTGTATGCCACCCCTCTCCGAAGACTCAGAGTAGCTCACAATGCATTTAAAATCATTATAAAAAACATTTAAAAATTAAAAATATTAAAACTCATTCTCACCATTCATGGCCAGATCTCGCCGGATTACAGGAGCGAGATCAACGGCCCCAGGCCTGCCGGAAAAGCCAGGTCTTTACTGCTTTTCGGAAGGCCAATAGGGTGGGGATGGTCCAGACCTCAGGAGGTAACTGGTTTCAGAGAGCTGGGGCAGCCACAGCAATGCCGCCAGCCGGCATTGTTTAGCTGATGGGACCCGGAGGAGACCAACTCTGTGGGATCTTACCGGTTGTTGGAAGTTATGCGGTAGAAGGCGGTCTCGAAGATACCCTGGCCCTGAGCCATGTAGGGCTTTAAAGGTAATAACCAACACCTTGAATTGTGACTGGAGACCAATAGGGAGCCAGTGCAGCTCGTGGAGAATTGGTGTAATGTGGGTGTACCTAGGTGCACCCACGACAGCTCGCGCAGCTGCGTTCTGGACCAACTGTAATCTCTGAACATTGGTTTGCTTGTGGGTGGGTGGGTGTGCATGCGTGCAACACTTCTGCACATGTGCAGAAGCATCCGACCGGCTGGGCGGAGCCTCCTGCCGCTACTACCGGTCCGCCCGGTCCACGGTAAACCGGTAGTAACCCACCACTGAACAACAGTAATAATAGTCAAACTTCCTCTCAGAAGTTACAAATCTCACAAATTATTGAAAAACAACAGGCGCTTATGTTAGGACATAATGAAAGTTACATTCTGACAAAGGTGACATTGTTCCTTGTTTCTGTAGTATCTGCCCTGATTAAAAGATAATACACTGTTTTGTGACATTTTTCTTGGTCTCGATAAATAATACATTTATCAGTAATAATATTTGGATCCCCCCTTTTATGGTTCAATACAAATATAATTGCTTTGCATGGAGATTCACCAATTTACATAAACTAATGAACAGGACAAGCAATAATTAACTTAAGAGAGAAAACCATGAAGACTGGCACTAATTTAAAATTTTCTAATCTTACAATATTAAAAAACTCAGCAGAAAACAGTACTTACAAAAAAATAAAGAAGGTACTGGATGAATATATAAATGTATTGGATGACAAAAAAAAAAAACCAAAGAAGATTTTACGTTCTTACTTGATCACAAGTTTTCCTGAGTAGCTTTGCACTGGTTTTTCTCAGCCAATGGACAACACAAGATTGCTGACTTAAAAATAAAAATGCTGGGTCTCCCATATGTTTTGCACCACACTTATCTAAAGAAAAATGTGAATATGAATGCAAATAAATAAACCTGATATATATATATATATATTTAGAAAAAAAAAAGGAAAAAATCTCAAAAAAGGAGAACAAGAAAACAAAAAAGGAGTAATTCATTTCTGAATTACTCATAAACCACTGGTAAGTGCTTTATATAGGCACTTTATATAGGCAACTATCTTAGAATCTTAAATTCAGAGTAAAAAAAAAAAATCAAGCCTTTTAAGAAACTTAAGCAATGCCCCCAGATTTTTGGGTACAATCCAGAATCCTCCTATTCAGGAATAGCAAAGAAAATGGTTTTCTGGGAATAAATCTGGCTATGGTGGTAGGAAGATTGAAGGGATGCCAAAGCTGTTATTACAGAGGGCAGTGGCCAAATAAGTTGGGTGAATAGCTTTGAAAAAAACTTGTAGAGACAAGACTTAGCCTGAGGTGTTAGCAGCAGCATCCCCCTCCCAATTGTTAGTTCCTTAATTGGTGATTAAAAACTGCAGAATTGGTCTTGGTATCAGAAACTGGCAGAATTTTTGCTGCTAAACAATGACAGTTCAAAAAAGATACCATTCCAAAGATGGAACCATATGCTGGGCAACCCAGTAGCTTTTTTAATAGCATAAAATATTCTTAAATAAACCAAGGCATCAAAGCAGGTGATAGAAAAAGGAAATGGTTCTGGCCATAGAAATCATAAAGAACAAATGAAACTCTCAAACGGGAACCTGCTGCTGATAACAGGATTGCTTGAATTCTCCTGTGTCTCAAATATTACTATGATCTTTGTATCCATTGTATGCTTCAAAATAGCTTATTTTTCTCATCATACCTTGGATTGTCTCAAGCAATTCTTTCCTATTGCTGGCAATGTGGCTTCTTTAAATCTGACAGGCAATTCATTAGCAGACTCTCGCAATGGAATTGCTAATCAATTTAATCAGTGGAGGGAAGTATTTTTTTCCCCTTTTCATTTCATTATACCCGGGATGTATTGACAATAGCAATCAAGCCTTTTGTTCCAAATGGTTCTGCCAGACTTTTCCAGCAAGCCTATTTCCCTCAGAATAAAATACAAACAAAACAAAATCACTAAGGTAAGATTTTTAGTAACAGCAAATGATTATAAGGTTTTGCACCACATAAAATTATCGCCATCCGGTCTGGCTTATCTAAAACAAAATGGAACTGCATGCAGTGGAATAACAATACACATTGTAGAAACATTGTCTCTATATGCTAGGATATAACATCTGGAACTCAGTTTCTAATTATTCTTGCTATTGTCAAGAAAGGAAAAAAGAGTCACTTGCTTCCTTCAAATGGTAATAGCATGTAGATTTCCAAACTTAAGTTACCATTTATTCACCCAGTAATCAAAATATAACAAGGAATCTGCTGCTTGTGAAATTTTTATATTGGATGCTCAGAAAATATGGGATCATCACACGGATGAACAACTTTTGCAGTTCTTGTCCAATAAATTAATGATAGGGTATTTATTGCACAGAGGAAATTATGCATAGATGGAAAATATGAGGCGTTGGAAGCTAACAGAGCTTCCAACTTAACTTGCTTCCAAATTCTTTCTACCTTGACTAGCGGTTAAGAAAAGCAGTGGCATAGCTTGGTGTATAATCTGCTGTGCGCACATCAGTCGTGGGACTAGCTCATATTTAAAGTGTCTCTTGTGAGAATTGAGACATTGTCCTTCAATATATACAGGCCACTGTACAGCATATAGAAAAGAAAGATAATGGGAAGCCAATTATCTTTTAGGTCATAACCAGCATTATTTATTTTTTCATTTGGAATCTTGCAAATTGCTTCCTATAAAAATTAATTTGTCCATTATAATTATTG